ATCTCTGAATTACCAATTTGATTAAATGAATGGCTTAGTTTACAGTGACCTGTGATCCTATTTTGAAATTGTTTTAAGCCTTTGATATTTGACATACTTCCCAAAATCAAATTTCTTTTTTTTTTTTTTTTTTGAGACGGAGTCTCGCTCTGTCTCCCTGGCTGGAGTGCAGTGGCCGGATCTCAGCTCACTGCAAGCTCCGCCTCCTGGGTTCACGCCATTCTCCTGCCTCCTGAGTAGCTGGGACTACAGGCGCCCACCACCTCGCCCGGCTAATTTTTTGTATTTTTAGTAGAGAAGGGGTTTCACTGTGTTAGCCAGGATGGTCTCGATCTCCTGACCTCGTGATCCGCCCGTCTCGGCCTCCCAAAGTGCTGGGATTACAGGCTTGAGCCACCGCACCCGGCCCAAAATCAAATTTCAAGTCCTAAAATTAAGGGTTTTTTGACCTGAACTAACTTGGACATAACAAACAGGAACCTCGAGAAGTCCAAGGGAGATGTATGTATGAGGCTTATCTGGTATGTTAAAATCATACAGGAAGCATCATCAAATGTGGAATGCTGTTTGAGTTATATTTGTATAAATGTATTATTAACATATGTTCCAAAATTGTATGAGATTCCTAAAAATTCTGACATGTCTTGGTATGTTATCAGTCGTGATTATATGTTCAATTGTTTTAACCACAGAAGGAACCAAATTCCCTGTCAATCGCATCTTCACCCATGGCTACTCTAAGTCTTTTGTTATCCACAGAAAATTACTGTTTTACTTTCTTCTCAAAATGCAGTTTAAGGCTGGGCATGGTGGCTCACGCCTGTAATCCCAACACTTAGGGAGGCTGAGGTGGGTGGATCACTTGAGGTCAGGAGTTCGAAACCAGCAAGGCCAGCGTGGTAAAACTCCCTCTCTATTAAAAATACAAAATTAGCTGGGTATGGTGGCACATGCCTGTAATTCCAGCTACTTGGGAGGCTGAGGCAGGAGAACTGCTCGAACCTGGGAGGCAGAGGTTGCAGTAACCCCGAGATTGTGCCACTGCACTCCAGCCTGGGCAACAGAGCAAGACTCCGTCTCAAAATAAATAAATAAATAAATAAAATAAGCTACAGTCTAAAATGTGCATTTTCTTCAAGGAACTTCATGGAAAGGACACTGACAAGTATACAGACTTCTGATAACTTGGGAGATCATACCAATGGACCACGTAAAAATGTCCAGGACTCTTATTAAAAAGCCGATGCTTTCATGAGGATTGCTAACCCAACATCATACAGAAGAAAGCGGCTGGGCGCGGTGGCTCACGCTTGTAATCCAAGCACTGTGGGAGGCCAAAGCAGGTGGATCATGAGGTCAGGAGATCGAGACCATCCTGGCCTGGCTAACACGGTGAAACCCCGTCTCTACTAAAAATACAAAAAATTAGTCTGGCGTGATGGCGGCGCCTGTAGTCCCAGCTACTTGGGAGGCAGAGACAGGAGGAGAATGGCGTGAACCCAGGAGGTGGCGCTTGCAGTGAGCTGAGGTCGCGCCGCTGCACTCCAGCCTGGGTGACAGAGCGAGACTCCGTCTCAAAAAAAAGCAAATTACATAGAACGGAACTGAGAGAGATCTGAAATGCTTTTTGTGACTTTTTGTTGTTGTTGAAACCTAGCTGACTCTTTTTATATTTTGTTTTCCAGAGTCAAAAATCCTTTTTCTGTTTGAGTGAGCTATTTATAGCTATAGCAATTGGGTGACATACACTTTTGTGAGCAAAACTGAAACATTTGTCTTTTTCTCTGATTTCTCAAAAATCTGGAAGTGATTCATGAGTATTCTTATTTTATGGCAATGTAGTTATTTGCATGAGTTCAGTAAGAATCTGTTTTCCTTGTAACAGGACACAATTGGAGACCCTGGTTATTCTACCAAGGCTTGGACTGGGATGACGTATTTTCGGATATGACCAGACTGCTTTGAGGAATCGAGGTGCACTTTGCAGAGCCAATAAAAAGCCCCTTGGGATGACTGGACTGGTGCCCTGTTTACATAGTTCCCTTACAAGGTTCTTGGCCTTGAGGTAAGTAAAGAATGCCACTTTCTGACAGATCCAGGAACTTCAAGATAGTTTGGGACCTGGAAGACATTCACCCCCTAATTCATACAGGTATTATTTATTTTTTTTGAGACGGAGTCTCGCTCTGTGGGCCAGGCTGGAGTGCAGTGGTGAGATCTCGGCTCACTGCAAGCTCCGCCTCCCGGGTTCGCCATTCTCCACCTCAGCCTCTGGAGTAGCTGGGACAGGCGCCCACCACCACGCCTGGCTAATATTTTGTATTTTTTTTTAGTAGAGACGGGGTTTCACCGTGTTAGCCAGGATGCTCTCGATCTCCTGACCTCGTGATCTGCCCACCTCAGCCTCTCAAAGTGCTGGGATTACAGGCGTGAGCCACCGTGCCCACCCCTCAAGTGGCTTTTAAAGGTCTAATCTGACCCTTTTGTAGTTCATAAGCATGATGATTGCCTCATGTGTAGGGTATGTCTCCCTCAAACCCTGTTATGATGTCAGCACATTACCTGTCTGACATGGGGAAAAAAAGTCTAATCTGAAATTCCTTATGGCAAAGTTCCAGCCAATTTAAAAAGGAGCCTGTATGGCCAGTCACCACTGTTGTTGTACTTTAGGCAAATAATCAGGCCAAATATTTTACAAGTAAATCCTAAAATTTATTTTACAAGTAAATTGGTCTTACCAAGATTTATCTTTGGTAGAAATGGGGAAGTAGAGAAAAATTATGTTTCAGAGAAAAACTATAGCATACCTATTACTGGATTCTATCCCTGACCATTGTATTTTTTATTTTCCTATAATCTGGACTAAATCCTGAACAATCTTCTGGCTACAAGTCTCTAAAGAAGAACCTAGGCCGGGCGCGGTGGCTCACGCCTGTAATCCCAGCACTTTGGGAGGCCGAGACGGGCGGATCACAAGGTCAGGAGATCGAGACCACAGTGAAACCCCGTCTCTACTAAAAATACAAAAAATTAGCCGGGCGAGGTGGCGGGCGCCTGTAGTCCCAGCTACTCGGGAGGCTGAGGCAGGAGAATGGCGTGGACCCGGGAGGCGGAGCTTGCAGTGAGCCGAGATCGCGCCACTGCACTCCAGCCTGGGCAACAGAGCGAGACTCCATCTCAAAAAAAAAAAAAAAAAAAAGAAGAACCTGGCTGGGTACAGTGTTCACACCTATAATCCCAGCACTTTGGGAGGCCCAGATGAGAGGATCGCTTGGGCTCAGGAGTTCGAGACTAGCCTGGGCAAGGTGGCAAGACCTAGTCTCCACCAAAAAAATTTAAAAATTAGCCGGTCCTGGTGGCAAACACCTGTATTCCCAGGTACTCGGGAGGCTGAGACAAGAGGACCCTTTAAGCCCAAGAGCTCAAGGCTGCTATGAGTGGGGATTGTGCCTCTGCACTCCAGCGTGGGCAACAAAGCAAGACCCCATCGCTAAATAATAAATAAAGAAGAACATGGATTTTAGTTTCTTCATGTTTTTAGTTGTCTCCCTAATGGAATAGGTATGTTTCTTTCATCTAGCATATAAATTGGTTATAGTCCTATGTGTTACTTCTGAGAAAACTAAAATTAATGGTGTTTCTAAAAACTAGAGATGATTCAACAGGTGATAGCAGCTGTATAAGTTAATGACTTCACTGAGGCCTCATGTTTGCCACCCTGTGATGCCATTCCAATTCAGTTTGTGATGTTCTTAAAAAAAACAATCCTCCCTGAAATGTCTCCTCCTTCCCTGCTTGGAATGGGACAGGACTATGTGGGAATGAGCCTTCCCAGCAAGAGGGGACACTCTGACCCTCGGATTTTGATAATCAATGCTTTCAAGAAGAAATATTTTGATCAAAAGGGGGGCAAATGAGAAAGAAAAAAATCATTTATCTGAGGAATGCAAAGCCCTTTTAAACTTCTGGCCCAGAAAGCCTGATGTTAAGTACCAGAAAGCATTTCAAATGAAATCGCAGTCCCTCACTACCCCTTGAGCCAAGTAACTTCCCACTGGTAATACCCAGCCGTGGCCAATCGCGAACCAATGCCATTTCTACAAGCCAGTGAGCTCCAAACCACCTGCTCTCCCACGGGCTCTCTTTTCTTTAAAAAACTGAGCCTCTGTCTTGTTCTCCGGTGCACCTGGTGACCCAGGCCGCCCTCGACCTCTGTGCCTGAATAAACCCACCGGGCACCACATTCTGACCCTTTTCATTAGTTTAGGTTCACAACTAATACAGGACTCAGCGCCGGTGGGCAGGAAGCCAGGGCCCCTGCAGAGAGGCGCCCGTCCCTTCTCCCGGGGAGGGCAGGGCTGGGCGCGCGTCCCACCGGGAGCGCCGCCTCCTCGGCGACGGAGCGAAGGGCCTCCGGGTCCCGTGACGTCCGCGCTCGGAAGGCGCGGAGGAGGGCAGGCCCCGCGGGACAGGGCGGCGGGATCGGCTCAGCGTCCCGCGGCGTCCGGCTGCCCGGCGGCCTCCGGAGCGGGGCCCTGCAGGAGAACGCGCTTTCCCCGCCCCATCGGGGCCTCAGTTTCCCCACCCCGGGAGAGCCGGCGGCCCGCCCCCGGCTCACTCTTAGCTGCGCCCCTCACCTCAGGACGCGCGCACTGGGCCCGGCCCCGCTCTGCCCTCCGCGCCCAGGCCGCCCACCTGGCCCGCGCGGCCCGGGGTCGCTCACCTGCAGGGCCGGGGCCGCCCCACACCGTCCACGCCCGGCGCGGAACCTTGGCCCTACCGCAGCAGCTGGCCCGGAGGGCTTTATCCGGCGCACCGAGGCCAGCGCGGGAGGGGCTGGGAAGCCGGGCGCACAAAGCTCCAGGCGGAAGTCCGGTCGGGGCGGGGCCTGAACGGGAGGTGGGCGTGGTCGTCTCAGGCGGGGGCGGGGTCAGGAGGTCCCGGGCGGGGCGGGGCCCTATCGGGGAGGAGCGGGCGCCTGCCGCCAGGGGGCGCCGTGGGGCAGCGGGGTTGCACCTGGCGCGCGGCTGCCGCTCCTCTGCCCGCCTCCCAGGCCCCGCAGCCCCGCGCCGCCTCCTGGACCCGGACCCGGACCCGGTCCCGGACCCTCCGTGGGATCCCAGCTCCTCCTCGAGCCGCCACGGGCCGCCATGGCCTCTCTGGGGGACCTGGTGCGCGCCTGGCACCTGGGCGCGCAGGCCGTAGATCGCGGGGACTGGGCCCGCGCCTTGCACCTGTTCTCGGGCGTCCCGGCGCCGCCCGCCAGGCTGTGCTTCAACGCGGGCTGCGTGCACCTGCTGGCCGGGGACGCCGAGGCCGCGCTGCGGGTGAGCGGGGCGTGGGGAGGCCGGTGTGGACGATGCCTCCGCCTCGAGCCCCTGGGGAGGGCTCTGCGCCCCTCCCCGACGGTTACGGGGTCGCCCTGCCGCCCCCGACCCAGCGAACGCCCCTGCAGGTGGGAGCCGAGCAGTGGGGGCCGCACCTGAGCTGAGCGAGGCCGGGCTGGGGGGCGCGGCGGTTACTGGCAGAGGCCCGGGCCCGAGGGTGACTCACACCGGGAAGGGGGAAGCTGCTGGGCTGGGTCAGGCCCGAGGGGCCGCCCTGCACCAAGGGGAAAGCGTTGCACCTGTGGTCATGGCCAGGAGACAGGGTCAGTCTCCTCCTCTGAGCCCTCAGCCAGGAGGGCTGAACGCAGCCCACTCCCCGAAACAGCCAGGAGTCCAGGGTGCCCGGGTGCAGCGGCCAAGGCCCTGCACGGAGTCCGCTGCCCTTCCTGCGCCCGCCCCCGTTCTGAGGCCGCCTGTACCTGCGCATTCCAAACACCAGCGCTGCCCCCACGCTCAGTCCCAAGCACCCTGCAGAAGCAGGCAGGTGCCCACGGTTATTGAAGGCTTGGTGACAGCAGCGATGAAAAGGAGAGGGAACTTTGCTCTGTGAGAGGGTCTCCACGCCCCTGACTCACAAAATATCCCCCTTGGAGGAGACTGGGCAAAGTGCATGAGACCCCCCCTCTCTTGTGTCTTAAAGCTGCATACAAATTTACAGTCACCTCCACAATGATTTCATTTTTTTGTTTGTTTCAAAGATGGAGTCTTGTTCTGTCGCCCAGGCTGACTGGAGTGCAGTGGTGCCATCTCGGCTCACTGCAACCTCTGCCTCTGGAGTTCAAGCAATTCTGCCTCAGCCTCCCGAGGAGCTGGGATTACAGGCGCCCACCACCCTGCCCGGCTGATTTTGTATTTTTAGTAGAGACGGGTTTCACCATGTTGGTGAGGCTGGTCTTGAACTCCTGACCTCAGGTGATCTACCCTCCTCGGCCTCCCAAAGTTGGTGGGATTACAAACGTGAGCCACGTTGCCCTACCCACAATGATTTCATTTTAAAATGTTATCCAAGAAAGGGAATGTAATCATTAGACACCAGGTGGTTCAGCAACAAATCCTATGTTCGGGGCTAACCCAGTCACCCTGTGCTCACATGCCTGGTTTCACTACAGAGACAGGACACAGTGAAAGTCAATACAACTAATCACAGCATATGGTATTAGGAATATAGGAACTTAGGAAAGAGGATGGAACAGCTGTGATTCATAAAACCGATCATCTGAGGGGCAGGCCAGGGTGCAGGTGTTGCTGGAACTGCTGTCTCTTGGTAAGAGCCTTGCGTGACTTTTGGGGAAGATAAGTGGGTTCTGCTGGCCCTGAGCAGCCACCCCACATCAGGGCTGCGTGCCTGTGCTCAGCCGCCACACTTCACACCTGTGTGAACTCGGTTCAGCGACAAGACCCCGCTCAGCCAGATTTGTGAAAGAGAGACCATAGCACCCTTCCTGTCACACACACTTAACTGATGGCCACAGTCCCTGTTCAGAACATTCTATGTCTTTCTGAGTCTGGTTTAAGGAAGAGCTGTGCTTTACACACAGATAAACCCATGAGGACATGTGTGTTGTTCTTTCTGATTCTAGTAGATTTCTAGTCATTTGCATGAACTATCCAAAAAGGATTTTTATTTTATGTTTTGAGACGGAATCTTGCTCTGTCTTACAGGCTGGAGTGCAGTGGCATGATCTCGGCTCATTGCAACATCCGCCTCCCTGGTTTAAGCGAGTCTGCTGCCTCAGCCTCTCGAATAGCTGGGACTACAAGCGCGTACCGCCATGCCCAGCTCATTTTTGTATTTTTGGTAGACAGGGTTTCACCATGTTGGCCAGGCTGGTCTCGAACTCCTGACCTCGTGATCCGCCTGCCTCGGCCTCCCAAAGTGCTAGGATTACAGGTGTGGGCTAACATGCCCGGCCTGTAATGCAGGTCTTTAACTGGTGACTCTGGGATCTGGGCTGTGTTATCTCATCTCCAGTATTGTGACAGCCAAGGTCGCCTGAGGTCAGGAGTTCGAGAATCTCTTGAACCCAGAGGTGGAGGCAGCCGTGAGCCGAGATCGAGCCGCTGCACTCCAGCCTGGGTGACAGAGCAAGACCCTGTCTCAAAAAAAAAAAAAAAAAGATTTTTAAAAGACAAAAGTCTCATATAACCCCACCCCCTGAGGTAACTATTATTAACACACTGGAACACTTTTTTCCAGCCTCTGTCCTTGTGCTCACGGTAAACAAATCGGTTTTAGCAGCACCTCAGTGGGCTTTGCACCCCGGACGGGTTGGGGTTGGGTGGGCTGTGGCGGCCTGAGTGGTAACAGCCCTGCCCAGGCAGGAGCCTCCAAAGGTCCCTGGACAGGAGCAGGAGGGGCCGATGGGATTCTGTGGCCCTGGCACCGATCACACCGTATCTGTGATGCTGTGTGACCAGGTTACGGACCTTGGCATCCCATGGGCATTTTTGTCCCCAGGCATTTGACCAAGCCGTGACCAAGGACACCTGCATGGCGGTTGGCTTCTTCCAGCGAGGAGTGGCCAACTTCCAGCTGGCGAGGTGAGTACAGGGGTGCCTTGTTCCTTCTCTGACGGCCCTTTGTCTCCCTGCAGAGTCCACTCCTGCACTCCCCCCTCCTCCGTCTCCACCTGCTCCCTCCTCTTGCCCACTCCCTCCTCCGTGGTTCCTGGCTCCAGGGAAACCTGGGCAGAGACTGTGGCCCTCACCTCTGCTGACCACCACCCTTGAACACAGGTGGTCGGGTCCTCACTGCTCACCTGGGCCCTCTGCACCATGTCCCTTCCTAAAGGAGGAATGAGGGAAGGGAGACCATCGGGACTGCAGGCCAGGCCCTGCCTCGGCCTCTCTGCCTGATGCTCAAAGGCCCCATCCCAGGAGGGCAGGCTCTGTGGGGAAGTGGATCACAGTCCCGAGAGCCTTGCAGTCCTGAATGTCAAAACCCCTGAAGTCTAAAATCCCAAAAAGTATAATTCTAGAAAAAATAAAATTCTGTAAAAGATATTTATTTACTTTTTAAAAATTATTTTGAGGCAGAGTCTCACTCTGTCGCCCAGGCTGGAGTGCAGTGGCGGGATCTCGGCTCACTGTAAGCTCCGCCTCCTGGGTTCAAGCGATTCTCCTGCCTCAGCCTCCCGGGTAGCTGGGATTACAGGCAGGCACCACCTCGCCCGGCTAATTTTTTGTACTTTTTTAGTAGAGACGGGGTTTCACCGTGTTAGCCAGGATGGTCTCGATCTCCTGACCTCGTAATCCGCCCGCCTCGGCCTCCCAAAGTGCTGGGATTACAGGCATGAGCCACCGCACCCTGCCAACATACATATTTTTTCTTTTTTTTTTTTTTTTTTTTTTTTTGAGACGGAGTCTCGCTCTGTCGCCCAGGCTGGAGTGCAGTGGCGTGATCTCGGCTCACTGCAAGCTCCGCCTCCTGGGTTCACGCCATTCTCCTGCCTCAGCCTCCCGAGTAGCTGGGACTACAGGCGCCCACAACCGCGCCCGGCTAACTTTTTTTTGTATTTTTAGTAGAGACGGGGTTTCACCGTGGTCTCGATCTCCTGACCTTGTGATCCGCCCGCCTCGGCCTCCCAAAGTGCTGGGATTACAGGCGTGAGCCACCGCGCCCGGCCTACATATTTTTTCAAGCACAAATTCATGCACTCTAGTGACAGGCTCACGGGTGTGACAGCTACGAGCAGATGACAGTGCTCGTGAGGAGCTAGGTCAGAAGGGGGAAGACGTACGTGCGTAGACTCTGGATGGTAATTGTGTGCACCTGGTTTTATCGCTGGTCATCAAAACACCAAGACAAACAACCCGTCTTCTAACAAGATCCATCAAAGGCTTCAGGGTCCACCACGTATGCAGTCGCCCAGAGAGCCAGGATCTCGAGCTATTTTGCCTTTCAGAAACGCAGATGAACGAAAAAGCCATCTCTTCCTTGACTGAGGAGCCAGCATTCGGGATGATGGCTGTGGGACTCTGCCTTTCTGGATGACCACCCAGACCCCTCTGGGGGCAGCCTCTCCTTCAAATGGGCACGGGAAGCCCGCCAGAAGGAGAAGCGTTTCCGGCAGGCACTGGGGAGCTCCAGCAAGGCTTGGAAGGAGGCTCAGAGTTTGGAGAGGTTGCCCCCTTGGGGTGGGGGGGCCTGCGAAGAGGGAGGGAAATAACCAGGGCGCTCTGCACAGTTCAGAAGAGAGGCTTGGGGGCAGGCAGGGGTCCAGGAAGCTGAATCTGACCTGGGAAAATGCTGGAGCCCCAGCACACGGTGACCCCCACACCCACTCAGCATACATGTGCATGGACCCCTGGCCCACGTACCCAGACCTGAGTGTGGAGACAGGCACCGCACTGCCCTCCTTCAGGTCTCCTTGGAACCAGGTGTTGGGGGGCGCTGGAGCGGGGCTGGATGTGAAAACTGCTCGGCCCCAGCCCCGTCTCCGCCCTGCGCCGCTGAGGGGACCCCGGCTGCCCACAGGTTCCAGGAGGCTCTGTCTGACTTCCGGCTGGCCCTGGCACAGCTGAGGGGCCACCCTGCCATCGACTACACCCAGCTGGGCCTGCGGTTCAAGCTGCAAGCCTGGGAGGTGAGGCCGGGCAGGGCTCACTCTGCTGCTGGCTGTGGGGTGTCCATGGGCAGCGGTGCCGTCACAGGAGGGCCCTGTGGACTGGGGAGCGCCTCTGCCCGAAGCTCTTGGTGCCGTGGAATCCCCTGGCCACTCCTTGACCCGCAGGAGGTTCTGGTGGCAGTGGAGGTGGAGGGACCATTTTGTGCTGTCTCAGGCCACCAGGGGTGGCTCCACCCAGGAGGAGGGCAGAGGCGAAAGGCCGCTGGGTGGGCAGGGAGCAGGCAGAGGGTTGTGCCCACCCTCCACTGTGCCCCCAACCCTTTCCTGGCTGCCTGGAACGTGTTGGCACCAAGGGAGGGGCACTGAGAGGGTCCCCCCACCAGACCCCGGTAACGCACCACCCTGAAGCCTTCTGGGAATAGCATTGTCTTAGGACGGAAAGTTGGAAGGGAAAGCCCCCCAGTGTGGGTCTGCAGCCAGGGTTAAAGTCAGGTGGGGGCCTCCAGCCCAGGACACAGAATGGTGCAGGGGAGGAGCCGGGTAGGGGAACTGGGGCAGGGGCTGGGTGGGGGGACCAGGGGAGGGGCCAGGTGGGAGGATTGGGAGAGGAGTCCAGTGGGGGGGATTGGGGAGGAGCTGGGTGGGGGTACTGGGGGAGGGGCTGGGTGGGGGAACGGGGGAGAGTCTGGGTGGGGGATCAGGCCCTGCCATCACCTTGGCCCCACTCCCAGGTGCTATACAATGTGGCGTCGGCACAGTGCCAGCTGGGGCTCTGGACAGAGGCGGCCGGCAGCCTAAGGGAGGCCATGTCCAAGTGGCCGGAGGGGTCCCTGAATGGCCTGGACTCAGCCCTAGACCAACTGCAGGTGAGGAGTGCCAACCCGGTCATGGTTTTGGGCTGGTGCCTACCACAGCCCCTCAAGACCAATTTCACGAGATGAAGAAGCTTCTGGAGGGAGATGGCCCTAGTGCCCAGTTTCGAGTGCCAGGCGGGGGCTTCCTGTGGCCTGTGGGAAGGGGGTGGGGGGCCCAAGTGGCCCCTGCTGCTCCAAGGTGCAGGGGCTTTGCAGCTGCAGGCCTGGTTGGTCACCCCATCTGCATCTGCTGGATGCCCACCCCCTCCAGAGACGGGGCTCGCTGCCGCCACGGCAGGTTCCCAGGGGCGAGGTCTTCCGGCCCCACCGGCGACATCTGGAGCACCTGGAGCCCGTGGATTTCCTGGGCAAGGCCAAGGTAAAGATGGGGGTGGCGTCCTGGGGCATTGCAGCCGGTGCTGAGCCCTCGAACTGTGTTCCCAGGGAAGGGGGTGTGTGCAGTCCAGGCCACTGTAAAGGCCAGGAGGGTAGAGAGTGGGCCCACAGCCATCCTCAAACTGGCGCCCAGGGCAGGGGGCCAGTGCCCCAAATGGGGCTGTCACCTTGGAGGCAGAGCCCACTAGAGCCAGCTGCATAGGAGGGGGCTCCAGCTCTCCCAACAAGGAACCTGCGGGTGCCCCCCCCCGCCCAGCCCGGGCCACGGCCACAGCCACAGCCTTGCAGCCTCCCGGAGTCCCTGCGTCTCTCTGCGTCCCTTCGTGCCTTTGTGTCTCCCTGTGTCCGTGCCACAGATAGCGAGGTCCCAGAGGGGGTCCCTGTGTGCCTGCCACAGATAGCAAGGTCTTGCGGGGGCAGGGGCTGCAGTCCGACGGTCTGGGCCACGTTACGCCCATACTTGGGTCAGGGTCAGGCAGCACCCCTAAGGTCACAGGAATAGGGAGCTGCTCACCCCCAAAGGCTGGGAGTGAAACGTGGAGAAGAACTCCTGGTGGGCGAACACTGGGTCACCCTTGGCTGGCCACGCCCCTGAGTGACCACGCCCCCATCGACTGACCACGCCCCCTGACTGACCACGCCCCCTCGGTTACCTGCACTGCTGGGGTGGTGGGGGGCCAACCCCTGTGTGGCCCAGTGCAGCTGCCCAGCGTGGGAGGCCTTAGGGGGGCGAAACCGGGCTCTGAGCTGTGTTAGTGCATCAACTTAGAGTCCGCATATCACAGTAGAGGGCTGTTTATAAGAAACAAAAATGTTTTTAAAGTTGTGCTAAAGGCCAGGCGCGGTGGCTCACGCCTGTAATCCTAGCACTTTGGGAGGCCGAGACGGGTGGATCACGAGGTCAGGAGATCGAGACCATCCTGGCTAACACGGTGAAACCCCGTCTCTACTAAAAAATACAAAAAAATGCCGGGCGAGGTGGCGGGTGCCTGTAGTCCCAGCTACTCGGGAGGCTGAGGCAGGAGAATGGCGTGAACCCGGGAGGTGGAGCTTGCAGTGAGCTGAGATCCAGCCACTGCACTCCAGCCTGGGCGACAGAGCGAGACTCCATCTCAAAAAAAAAAAAAAAAAAGTTGTGCTAAAAGTAAGTTAATATTGCAGCAGATGTTTCCTTCCATCAGACATTTCCCTCCATGGTGGCAGACGAGGGCCGGGCGTGGGCAGCTGTTGCCCAGCCCCCGGGGACTTAGAGCTGCGGGGTGTGGTGGGGCGGGCTGCAGGGAGCAGAGCCCGCCGGGCCACTGGTCCCTGACCCGGAGCCCCCACTGTCCCCGCCAGGTGGTGGCCTCTGCCATCCCCGATGACCAGCGGTGGGGTATCCGCCCTCAGCAGCCACAGGTGGGTTTGCGGCCCCTCAGGCCCCGCCTGGCCTCACCCAGCTTTGTGGGAAAGAAAACCCTGTACAAGCTTGGAGCCCTCCTGGGGCCGCAAAGTTCCTCTGACGGGAGTGTGGGGCAGCCGTCCCGTCCCTGTGTGAGACCTGGGGAGGCCACTCTTCAAAGTTCAGCCCCCGACCCTTTACCAGAGCGAGGCTGTTGCTTTGTATCCACAGGGACTGGGAGCGAACCTCGATGCCAGGTAGGAGGGGCCGGCTGGGCCCTGCGAGCACGTCCCTTTCCTGCGGGCAGAGGCCCTCCCCACGGGGCCATTCGGGCCGGGCACAGGAGGGCACTCAGATGGGCCGGGCCTGAGAGCCTCCCTCCTCTTCCCAGGTCCCCAGTCATGGACTCCCCAAGAGCTGGCACCCACCAGGGCCCCCTCGATGCAGAGACGGAGGTCGGTGCTGACCGCTGCACGTCGACCGCCTACCAGGAGCAGGTTCGTGGGCCTGGGCCTCTTCCCCTGCTGGGGGTTGGTGCTTCTGCTGCCTCTGCGGACCGGGGACCACAGTGAAACCAACACGAGGGTGGAGGGAGCAGCTCACTGCGGGGTAGATGGGGCCAGGCTCACCCACGGTCCTGGCCCAGCCCAGCCAGATGGGAGAGTGCCTGGCTGTGCCCAAGGCGAGAGGGTGCCGGCCATCAGGGCAGGAGAGAGGTGGTGTCCAGTGGAGACATCCAGGTAGCCCTGCAGGCCCTCAGCCCCCAGGACCACCTCAGGCTGGCCATGGCCCCTCCCCTCCCACTGGGGTGGGAGTGACCAGGAGTGATCCAGCTGGGGACAGGCAGGAGGCAGGACAGCTCTGGAGGGGCCCCGAGGCTCCCGCCCCCACATGGGGGCCCAGCAGCGACTCCATGTCCCCAGTCCTCCCGGACGCCCCTGGCACCCAGGGAGAGGCGGAGGAAGGCAGGAACCCAGCTGCTCCCACGGTGGCAGCCGTGGGCGGGGGCTCTGCTGCAGGACTCCAGGAGGCCCAGAGAAGGCACCTCCATTTCACGCTGGGCGCATCTGAGGATGTGGTCAGGAAGCAGCCCCGGCACTCTCTCTTTATGGATGCCCACTTCCAGTTTAACTGTGGCATCCTAGAGGCAAGGGCGCCCTCCAAGCTCTGCTTCATTCAATTCCCTCTGGGTCTGGAACCATTCGCCCAGTTCCCACGATGGGCGTTTAAGCCCTCATCCTTCCTAACCTAAGGCAACTTCAACCATCTGATAAATCTAGTAAGTTACAACTGAGGCCGGGCACACTGGCTTATGTCTGTAATCCCAACACTGTGGGAGGCTGAGGTGGGAGGATCGCTTGAGCCTGGGAGGTGGAGGCTGCAGTGAGCCATGACAGCGCCACTCCACTCCGGCCTGGGCGACAGAGCAAGACCCTATCTCAAAAAAAAAGGAAAGAAAAGGCCAGGTGCGGTGGCTCACGCTGTAATCCCAGCACTTTGGGAGGCTGAAGCGGGCGATCACGAGGTCAGGAGATCGAGACCAGCCTGGCTAACACGGGGAAACCCCGTCTCTACTAAAAATACAAAAAATTAGCCGGGCGTGGTGGTGGGAGCCTGTAGTCCCAGCTACTCAGGAGGCTGAGGCAGGAGAATGGCGCGAATCCAGGAGGCGAAGCTTGCAGTGAGCTGAGATCGCGCCACGGCACTCCAGCCTGGGCGACAGCGAGATTCCATCTCAAACACCACCACCACCACCACCACCTGACCCTCAGGGTCCAGCCAGCGCCAGGCTGTGACTTTGTGACTTGCAGGCAGTGAACTCGTCCCCTCCTTGGTGCCCAACTCAGGGCACACGGTTAACGTCCAGCCCACACAGAGGCCGGGGGCCAGGGACTGGGTCCTCAGCTACTGGGGAGCCCACCCACCTTGAGCTGCCACCTCGGTGGGCCTGGGGGGACGTGGTGCTCCCTCCTGGTGACAGGCAGCCTCTAGGCCTGCAGGGACCCAGCCCCATCCTAAGGCAGCTGACTGTGGGCAGGCTGCCTGCTGGGCACTGGCCGGGCACACAGGCCACACCCTTGCCGTGGGTTCTGCTAGGACGGTACTGGCCTCCGGCACCTGACCACCCCGGCCCACCCAGCCTGTGCTTCTCTTGCAGAGGCCCCAGGTGGAGCAAGTTGGCAAACAGGCTCCTCTCCCCCCAGGTATGAGGGTCCTCAGCAGTGGGGTCCCCGGGTGAGGGAGGAAGCTGCTGGCGCACAGCTGCCGGCTCCACCCACAGGGCCCACTTTGGTGGGAGTGGCTGTGTCCTTGATCTGTCCTGCAGGACCGCCAGCAACGGGGGCGCCTGGCCCCGACCCCTGTGAGGACCCCGCGGGTGCTGGGGTAAGAGGCTCCGGACCCTTCACCTGTCAGTCACCTGAGGGAGGCCAAACCCCATCCCTCAGAATCAAGGCTTGCAAGCCCCCCTCACCTGCCCAGTCTCTGCCCACACCCCTCGGGCTAGAGACAGCCCTGACCAAACCCAGGGCCTCAGTGGCCATCCCTCCCCCTCCTGCCTGGCCGCAGGGAGCAGGTGCGGGGGGCTCCGAGCCCCTGGTGACTGTCACCGTGCAGTGCACCTTCACCGTGGCCCTGAGGGCGAGAAGAGGAGCCGACTTGTCCAGCCTGCGGGCACTGCTGGGCCAGGCCCTCCCTCACCAGGCCCAGCTTGGGCAACTCAGGTGGGCCAGAAAGCCCCTGCGGGCTGCGGCGGAGCTGGGCGGGGGTGGGGGTGGACTCTGCACTGGGCACCGCCCCGACTGAGGCAGCTGCTGGAAGAGGGGGTGGCAGAGGTCACCGTCCTCCCCGCAGGCCCCACCCTGGAGGCCCCCTCTGAGGAACCTCTTTGCAGTTACCAAGCCCCAGGTGAGGACAGGCAGTGGGTCCCCATCCCCGAGGAGGAGTCGCTGCAGAGGGCCTGGCTGGACGCGGCTGCTGGCCCCAGGGGGCTGCAGCTGCAGTGCAGGGTGAGCCGAGGGCAGGGCAGGGGCAGAGGCAGGGGCACCCTGAGGGGTGGTGGAGGACCCTCCTCCCAGTGCCCGGCCCGACCTGCAGCCCACTCTCCTGCCACAGGGAGCTGGGGGCCGGCCAGTCCTCTACCAGGTGGTGGCCCAGTACGGCTACTCAGCCCAGGGGCCAGAGGACCTGGGTTTCCAACAGGGGGACACGGTGGACGTCCTGTGTGAAGGTAGGGTGGGCATGGCCCTTCCCAGGCAGCACCGGGATGCCCGGGGTGTGGGGGGCTTACAGCTTGGCCTGTGCCGTGAGCAGACGTGGCACCCAGAGGCGTCTGGGTGCCATGTCTGGGTAGCGCCCTGCAGAGCCCAACGTCCCCCTTGCAGTGGACGAGGCATGGCTGGAGGGCCACTGTGACGGCCGCATCGGCATCTTCCCCAAGTGCTTCGTGGTCCCCGCCGGCCCTCGGATGTCAGGAGCCCCCGGCTGCCTGCCCCGATCCCAGCAGGGAGATCAGCCCTAGCAATGCTGTGTACATGATGTTTTAATAAAAACCATGCTCACTGCGGTGTAACCCTCCAAGCGGGTGTGGGAGGCTGGGCTGGCCCAGGAGAAGCCCCCGGGTCTGGACTCCTGCAGCATCAGGCAGAGCGGGGGTCCAGGCAAGGCAGCTCCCTCCCCTCTGCCCCTCTCTACCCTTCCTGAGGCCCTGTCAGGAGCAGGACCCTATGCCTCTGTGGTCTTGCCCCCTTTGCAGGCAGTAGGTGGCCCTGCAGTCACACAGCTTGGAGACACCATGAGTCCTGGCGGCCTGTGTGCAGAAAGGCACCAAGGGCCCTGGAAGCCCAGTGTGGGAGGGGGCGGGGTCCAGGGACGCCGGGAGGGGAGGCCACGCAGCCTCTGTGGACAGCACCACCCCGAGGGTGCCCTGGAGGTGGCTGTCACCTGACCTTGGGCAGAGCCACAGAGCAAGGTCCCACAGTGCTCAGGGCTCAGGAAGGCTCCAGCATCCGGGACGCAGCTGCCTGTGGGCTCTGTGGGGGCCCACCTCCGCCTCCCACTAGTCTTGCAACCAGAAGAGCTGGACCAAGGCAGCCCCCACCACCGCCACCAGGGTCAGCACCATGAACACCACTTTGGCCACCCAGACGCCGTAGCTCACTGCCCACAACTGAGCCGGTGCGTCGGCTGGGATCATCCCGGTCAGGTTCAGCATGTAGCCCAGTGTCCAGCCAATGTCCACACCTCCCGCCTGCAGGACACACGGCTGCTCAGGGCTGCGGGGCAGCTACCCCAGGGCCACGACCCGCCCGCGCCCAGGGGAGGCAGTCACCTGACCTGCTTTCGGAACTCGAGGCTGGGCCAGGTCTCCTCGCTGAACCTGTAGCCCTCATGCAGGAGGGTGAGGATGTACAGGCCTGAGGCACAGTAGTCTCGCAGCCAGCGGTCCTGCCCAGGGTAGCTGGCCTCCACCTGGGGCCCAGGAGGCCAAGGTACCAGGTGAGGACCCCCCGATCCTCAGTCATGGGGGGACTGCCCCATCTGCCCTGGCCAACCTGACACCCAGACAACAAGAGGGTGCTGGGCAGTGGTCAAGAGCCCCTCCCTGGCCCCGCTGACCGGTTAAATGGTGCGGGCTGCAGCCCCCTCTTGGTGGGTCAGAGGCTGGGCCCAGCTGCAGCTGCGGTCACAGCCTCCTACCTGGAGCGGCACGGCCTAGAGCTGTCCTCTGCCCGTGCCTCCCCTGGCCCTGCCTGCCGCGCTGCCCGCCGCGCTGCCCAGAATGAGGCGCCAGCATCCTGCACGGGGCAGCCCTGCCCCCTCAGGGACCCTCACTGCAGCTGGGGAAACCGGGGCCCACCCACCAGTTTCCAGGGCCTCTGGCAAAACTCCCAGATGGTGGCGTTGACCGTGCTCAGGGGCTGCCCGGAGGTGAGGTTCAGGAAGTGGAAGGTGTAGTAGAAGTTGGAGAAGGCCTGGGCGAGAAGGAGGCGGCTGTGCTTCGCTGTGGCTACGCTGGGTCAGATCCCCACCCCACCCGGGCTCCCAGAGCCTCCAAGAGCCAGCCTGGGCCCCTCCTGGGCCTGCTGCAGTCAGACAGGCACCTGGGGCCCCACAAGGAAGCCGGGACCCCTTTGGGGCGGGGGGCAGCGTGGGAGCTCACGTAGAACTTGCCCTGCAGCGGGGGCTGGTAGATGCCGTCGAAGGCACAGTCCTCCCGGCCCTGGCAGCTGGAGAAGTTGAAAAGTTCCCGGATGGCTGAGACGCAGGCCCCAGGGTTGCCTGTCCCTTCAACTGTGAGGTTCTGGGGGAGGCTCGGCGGGGGTGTGGTGTGGACACAGGGTGACTCGTACAGTGGGGCCAGGGCCAGTGTGGTCTGGTAGCCGCTGAGGTAGCATGGGTGACGGATCAGGGCAGCCGGGCGGCTCTGCAGAGGGCAGGAAGGCCTGAGCACCAGCCCCACACCCGCAGCCCTGTGCACCCTCCCCGGGGCCCGATGACCCACGCCAGCCCCACGCCCATAGCCCTGTGCGCCCTCCCGATGGCCGGATGACCCACGCCAGCCCCGCGCCCATAGCCCTGTGCGCCCTCCCGATGGCCGGATGACCCACGCCAGCCCCGTGCCCATAGCCCTGTGCGCCCTCCCGATGGCCCGATGACCCACGCCAGCCCCGCACCCATAGCCCTGTGCGCCCTCCCCGGGGCCCGATGACCCACGCCAGCCCCGCGCCCATAGCCCTGTGCGCCCTCCCGATGGCCCGATGACCCACGCCAGCCCCGCGCCCATAGCCCTGTGCGCCCTCCCGATGGCCCGATGACCCACGCCAGCCCCGCGCCCATAGCCCTGTGCGCCCTCCCGATGGCTGGATGACCCACGCCAGCCCCGTGCCCATAGCCCTGTTCCTACAGCCCCGTGCACCCTCCCCAGGGCCCGCTGACCTGCACCAGACCCACAAGGAGCCTGCTCAGCATCTGGTCCCGCCCGAAGCAGAGGTAGCTGTGAGTGTAGACGCTGTAGTTGGAGCCGTAGAGGCGAAAATCGGCCTGGGTGCTCTTGTCCAAGATAGGGCCCCCAGGCACGAAGGTGATCTGGGTGGAGGCTCCCCCCATGTCCAGGGCGCCCACCAGCGTCTCCTCCGGAGGCTGGATCCATTCTCCAGTGAAGGAGTACTGGGCACAGAAGGGGCCACTCAGCTCGGAGCAGCCACCCGGACCCCGCCCTGGTCAGCCAGCCCCAGACACCGGCCCCTCGCAGACCAGCCCCCGCCCTCGGGCTGCCTGTCGCACCTTGACCAGCGTCCCCAAGCCGTAGTTGACAGTGATCCAACCAAAGGCACCTTCATCCTGCCCCGCCAGGAGCTCGGCACCCCAAAAGTCCACGGGAGACCGGCCCAGGACCTGGGTGACTGCTGCGAAGATGTCCCGGGCCTGAGAGCTGTTCTTCTGCCTGGGCACAGAGGACCAGGGACTGGAGCTGGCTGGAAGCCTGGGCCCGGCCCCACCCTGCCTGCCACGCTGGTTGAGACCATGGTTTCTGCAGCCATGCCCTGTGGGTGCCAAGGCCATGCCCGCCTCACCTGAGCAACCTCATGCCAGCCGTGGCCCCCAGGAACATGGGTGTTTTCCGATGCTGGGCCTCTGGGATCAGCACCAGCGCCTCCTCCAGGCAGCCCCGCAGGCTCTCACCAGCCTGTGCAGGGTCAGAAGTGTAGGAGGAGATTCCAGGCCCTGGAACAGCAGCCGGGGACAGAGCTCCAGACCCCACAGGCTGGCTGGGCTGAAAGGCAGCTCCCAAAGACGTGGCCACCTCCTGACCCCCGGTGTGGCCACCAGCCAAGGGCTGCGTGGAGCGCTCAGGCTAGAGGAAGCAGGAAGGACCCTAACCCGGAGCCTCTGGAGGGTGCGGCCCTGTCCAGACCTTGTTTTCAGACTTCTAGAATGCTGAGAAATAAGGTGCTATTGTTTTAAGTCCCCAACTTGTGGTAATTTGTTACCAGAGCCCACAGGAAACAAATTTGGGGCCTCCTGTTTTCCCCTCTCAAGATCCTGGAGTGCAGGACCCCTGTGGCTACCAGCTTCGGCCGCCAGCACCACATGGTGCCAGGGTGGGGAGCACCAGGGGCCAGAGAGGGTCAGGGCCGAACGCAGCAGACGCTGGGCAGACCCAGGCCAGGCCATGAGAATCTAACTGCTCACTGGGACCTCGGCCGTCACTGAACCTCTCCAGACCCTTTCTGTGCATCTGGGAAATCCCAGCCAGGCAACAACAGGCAGGTCCCAGCACCGGGCTGCAGAACTGCCCACTAACCTTCCACCTGGCAGGCCAGGGCCTGGCTGACCACACCAGTGCCATTCTCCTTGTCCGCCGGCCACTGATACAGGAAGAGGGACGTGTGGGAGGAGCCCGCATCAAACACGATGCCAAACTGGGGAGACAGTGGGATAAGTGGGAGGCAATACCTGGGGACCGCGCCCGGCCTCCCCTGCCGGCGGGGACGCACCTTGATGTCCGTGGGCAGGAGCACGCTGGTGGCCTCCACCAGGAGGAGAATGAGTGCAGTGAGGCCCGAGACCCCCGAGGCCCCCAGTATGGCCAAGAAGACCTGCTCCTTCCGAGACAGCCCCATGGCTCAGGTGGTCCTGGTTCCTGTGGGGGGATGGCTGTGGGCACCCAGGCTGCACTCGGTGTCCCCGCCCCCATCTCCCTGGAGACGGACCCCTGGAGAGCCACTGGCCTTAGAGGCATCCCCGGGGCTCAGACAGCCTCCCGTGGCCAAGGACCACTCCCTGGGAGCCACACCTGCCGGGGGTGCCACGGGCATCAGAGGGCCCTGTGGGAGGGGGTGGGGGGACAGCAGGGGCCTCATCGGGGGACATGGCCTCAGCAGGATCCAAGTAGCCCCCTCGGATCCCCTTGGATGGGACTGGCGGAGCTGCCCTCACCATGTGATGGGGTCACCCTGTGTCCCCACCCTTTGGTCCTGCCTGTCCCGTGCCAGCCTCCCCAGGGGCAGCTCCAGCCTGCACTGGGGGCCCAGGGCTCTGCCTCCTCTCTGCGGCCCCCACCCCAGGCTCTCCCAGGGTGAGGTTTCTCTCTGGAGCCCTGAGGGGGCTGCCTGGGGACTGTTGCCAAGGGGTGGCGGGTGAACCCAGGGTGAGGCCAGTCATCCTAGGAAGAAGTGAGGCTTCTTAACGACATCGGTTTCTCTGGAAATCCAGCTCTAGGCTTCTCTAATCTGACTCTGCACCTTCTTAACTGGCGCCAGATGGCCCCTGGGAGGGAGGTGGACCCAGGAATGCCACCTGAGGGGCCTGGGCTTCTCTAGCCCTGTGGCCCAGGTGTCCACCTCCTCCTCTGCCTGGATGCCCAGCAAGGCATCTCAGCTCTCAAACTACCCCAGGCCTATCCTGTGCCACATATAGCCCCACTTCACACAGGTACCACTGCCCAAAGGAGTGGTCAAAGCCAGAAACTGCCACCAAGGTCCTGGCACCCGAGCCCCACGTGACTGTGTCCTGTCGTGTTCCCCCGGGACATGTTGCACCCACACGGAGTGGCAGGCGTGGGTGCTGCCCTGGTCCTGACCTCGGGCTCCTGGGCACATGGAAAGTGGGACACGCTGTGGGGTCCTCATGCAATTCTGTATGTCGGGGGGATACAAGCCCATTTTAAGGAGGATAGATGACAAAGGCCCAGAGAGGACAAGTGGCCGGTCCAGTCCAGACAGGGCCCAGCCTGTGTCCCCAACTGGCACCCAGGCCACAGGCCACCTCCTAGGGACAAACAGGTGACAGGGGCCAGGAACACAGGGACTCCACATTCTGATGTAGCCACCTGAGACCCCCAGACCTGAGCCTCCAGGAAGGCAAAGAGGATGGGGCAACCTCCCCCACACTCAAAAAACCCCCCAGACCAGAACAGCCCCCCAGATCAGAACAGCCCCCTAGATGAGGACAGTCCCCCAGACCAGGACACCCCCGCAGACAGAACAGTCCCCCAGACCAGGTCAGCCCCCCAGACCAGGGCAGCCCCCCAGACCAGGACACCCCCTAAGACAGAACAGTCCCCAAGACCAGGACAGCCCCCTAGACCAGGGCATCCCCCCAGACCAGGACAGTCCCCCAGACCAGGGCAGACCCCCAGGACAGCCCCTTGGCCCCTCACCTGGGCTGGCTGTCCACTTCCCTGAGCAGCAAGAAGGAAGCTGTGCTCAGGCGTGTCTGTGTCCGGCGCACCCGGCGTCCAGCCTCTCCCTGCCCCTGGGTCCAGGACAGCTGGGGTGGGAGGGGCGGGGCGGTGACACCCTCCAGCGATGCGCTGTGCACCTGGCTCCAGGGCCCGCAGACTGAGGTCAGCGCCCAAGGTCGCCCCGCCCCCTCCACCCTAGGGTCCGCCGCCCAGGGTCTCCCCGCATCCCCCACCCGCGGGTCCGTCCCGGCGCCCAGGGTCGCCCAGCCGCCGCGGGGTGGGAGGCAGGAGAGGGAAGCTGAGCAGAAGCCTGGAGCTGCGAGGGACAGAACTCCGGGACCCCGCCCCGCACCGCCTGCAGCCGCGCTCAGGGCCCCGGCCCGGACTTTGCCCCCCGCGCCGCCCGGCCCGGGCAGGTCGGAGTCAGGTGACCCCGAAGGTCCGGGCCCCGGGCGGGGGCGGAGGCGCCTGCACCCCGCGGCGTCGGTCGTTTCCCACTTGCAGCCACTGCGCCCTTCCCGCTCGCCGGGGGTCCCGGGGCCGCTGCCCAGGGTAGGTCGGGGCCCGGCCTCTGAGGGGGTCGGGGCCGGGGCTGGGTGGGGCTGGGGCGGGGCCGAAGATGGACCCAGTCGGGGTCGGGCTGGGGCAGGGCCGGGGCGGGGTCGGGCGCAGGGGAGGGCGCAGGGCGGGGCGGGCTGGGGCTGGGGGTGTTGGGGGCGGGGAATAGGGTGGGGGGAGATGAATTCCTTTCTGTGTGAGATCCAAGACCTCTTGGGGTCTCAATCAGGACTCCCTTTTCTGGTAGCATATCTGGTGTCATGTTTGTGCATTTTTGTGCTTTTTCTTGGTGATTTCACTGTTCATAATGGCCTCTCAGCATAGTGCAGAAACGCAAGGAGGCTGAAATGCACCTTACAGAGAAAACACACGTTGGATAAGCTTCATTCGTGCAAGAGTTAGTGCTGTTGGCCATGAGTTCAATGTTAGTGACAAGATACATATTAAGTAAGGTGTCCTTAAACACAAATACACATAGGCCGGGCGCGGTGGCTCAAGCCTGTAATCCCAGCACTTTGGGAGGCCGAGACGGGCGGATCACGAGGTCAGGAGATCGAGACCATCCTGGCTGACAGGGTGAAACCCCATCTCTACTAAAAATACAAAAAACTGCCGGGCGAGGTGGCGAGCGCCTGTAGTCCCAACTACTCGGGAGGCTGAGGCAGGAGAATGGCGGGAACCCGGGAGGCGGAGCTTGCAGTGAGCCGAGATCGTGCCACTGCACTCCAGCCTGGGCGACAGAGCAAGACTCCGTCTCAAAAAAAACAAAACAAACAAAAAAAAACACACATAAAAGAAGGTTTTATTAATATATTGACCATTTGACAAAACCGTGACCAGAAGCTTGCAGGAACGTAACTTTGCATTTCCCTTAGGAGCAACAGTTTAGCATATTCACTAATCCAGTGTTTGCAGCAACTTTATACCACATAGCTGCCATGGATAGTGACAATCAGACATGTTTGTTGAGGATTTTTGCAGTTGTGTTCAACAAAGTTTTGTAGTTTTCTTTTTCAGTCCTGGTTTCTGTATGGGGATAATGCTGGGCTTATAAAATGAGTCTGGGAAGTTGTCCTTCCTTTTTTTTTTTTTTTTTTTTTTTGAGACGGAGTCTTGTTCTGTCCCCAGGCTAGAGTGCAATGGCGTGGTGTTGGCTCACTGCAACCTCTGCCTCCCGGGTTCAAGCAATTCTCCGACTAGCTGGGACTACAGGCGCCTGCCACCGTGTCTGGCTAATTTTTTGTATTTTCAGTAGAGATGGGGGTTTCACCATGTTGGCCAGGATGGTGTCGAACTCCTGACCTTGTGATCCACCCACCTTGGCCTCCCAAAGTGTTGGAATTACAGGCGTTAGCCATGGCGCCCAGCCTGTTGTCCTTGTTTTATTTTGTGGAAGGGATTTGAAGAATTTGTATTAAATTTCTTCTTTAAATATTTTGTGTAATTTGGTTATAAAACCATCTGAGTCAGTACTTTCTTGTTTAGAAAAGTTTTAAAGTACAAATTCAGTTTCTTTAACAGTTAATAGGATTGTTCAAGTTGTCCGTTTAATGAGTTTTGGTAGTTTGTGGCTTTCAAGGAATTGGTCTATTTCACCTAAGCTGCTAAATTTATGTGAATACAATTATTCATAGTACTTCCTGGTTATCCTTTTAATGTCTGTAGGGTCTGTAGTGATAACCCTCCCATTCCTCATATTGGTAATTTTGTCCTTTCTCTCTCATCAGTGTTGCTAGCTAGAGGTCTATCCAATTTATTCATCATTTCAAAGAACCAGCTTTTTGTTTCATTGTTTTTTCTTTTTGGTTTTTGAATTATTTTAATGCTGTGCTTAACTGTATTTCCTTTCTTCTGCTTGATTTGAGTTTATATTTCTCCTCCTTATCTGGTTTCTTAATGCAGAAGTTTACATTATTGACTTGAACCTTTCTTTTTTTCTAATCTAAACATTTGTGCTATAAATTTCCCTCTAAGCGCTGTTTAGCTCTCTCAATTTTTGATATGCTGTATTTTCATTTTATTCATTATATATAGATATAGATATATAGATATATAGATTTTTTTTTTTTTTTTGAAACAAAGTCTCACTCTGTTGCCCAGGCTGGAGTGCAGTGGCACAATCTAGGCTCACTGCAACCTCGGCCTCCTGGGTTCAGTTGTTTCTCCTGCCTCAGCCTCTGAGTAGCTCAGATTACAGGCGTGCACCACCACACCCAGCTAATTTTTTTGTATTTTTAATAGAGATGGGGTTTCGGCCGGGCGCGGTGGCTCACGCCTGTAATCCCAGCTCTCAGGGAGGCAGAGGCGGGAGGATAGCTTGAGCCCAGGAGTTCGAGACCTGCCTGGGTAATATAGCGAGACCCCGTTCTCCACAAAAAAAGGAAAAAAAAAAAAAAAAAAAAAGAGATGGGGTTTCACCAGGTTGGCCAGGTTGGTCTGGAACGCCTGACCTCAGGTGATCTGCCCGCCTCAGCCTCCCAAAATGCTGGGATTACAGGCGTGAGCCACCGTGCCCAGCCAATTTTGTTTTAAATTTGCTAAGGTTTTTTTGTTTTTGAACCACAATCTGGTTGATCTTGGTGCTGCTCCATGTGCATTTGAGAAGAAGCTCAATGTTGCCATTGGTGGGTGCAGTGTTCTCTAAGTGTGCTTGTGTCTAGCTGGTATTATATAAATACATGTTGGGATTTATATCTTGCTGATTGTCCATTAATTCTATTACTGAGAAGAATGCTGGTGTCATCGTGAATGTGTTCACTTCTCCTTTCAATTCTGTCGCGTTTTGCTTCCGATATTTTATTTTATTTTTACTTTTTAATTTTATTTTTTGAGACAGAGTCTTGCTCTGTGGCCCAGGCTGGAATGCAGTGGCACGATTTCAGCTCACTGCAACCTCCACCTCTTGGGTTCAAACGATTCTCCTGCCTCGGCTTCCCGAGTAGCTGGGATTACAGGCGCCCACCACCAAGCCCGGGTAATTTTTGTAGTTTTAGTAGAGATGGGGTTTCACCAGGTTGGCGAGGCTGGTCTCGAATTCCTGACATCAAGTAATCCGCCTGCCTCTGCCTTTCCAAGTACTGGGATTACAGGCGTGAGCCAACGCACCCAGCCCACTTATTCTTTTAATCTTTTTTTGTTGTTCAGATGGGATAATCTCTGCTGATCTGTCTTCATATTTACTGACTCGTCCCTTTGCCATCTCCATTCTGCTACTGAGTCTGCTCAATGAAGTTTGTTTTCTCAATTTTGGTTATTGTGTTTTTTGGTTCTAAAATTTTCATATGGTTCTATTTATTTGGTGAGACTCTTTTCTTCTTCTTCTTCTTTTTTTTTTTTTTTTTTGAGAGGGAGTCTCGCTCTGTCCCCCAGGCTGGAGTGCAGTGGCACAATCTCAGCTCACTGCAAGCTCCGCCTCCAGGGTTTACGCCATTCTCCTGCCTCAGCCTCCCGAGTAGCTGGGACTACAGGCGCCCACCACCTCGCCCGGCTAGTTTTTTGTATTTTTTAGTAGAGACGGGGTTTCACCATGTTAGCCAGGATGGTCTTGATCTCCTGACCTCGCGATCCGCCTGTCTCGGCCTCCCAAAGTGCTGGGATTACAGGCTTGAGCCACCGCGCCCGGCCTCTTTTCTTCTTCTTCTTCTTTTTTTTTTTTTTTGAGACAGCATCTCACTCTGTAACCCAGGCTAGAGTGCAGTGGCAGGATCATGGCTCACTGCACCTGTGAACTCCTGGGCTCAAACGATCCTCCCTCCTCAGCCTCCCCAGGAACTGGGACCATGGGCATGCACCACCGTGCCTGGCTGATTTTTGTTTTCTTTTAGTAGAAATGGGGTTTCACCATGTTGCCCAAGCTTCTCTCAAACTTCTGTGCTCAAGTAATCCATCCGCCTCGGCCTCCCAATGTGCTAGGATTCCAGGCATGAGTCACCGCACCCGGCCTTTGCTGAGACTTTCTATTCTAACATTTTAAGTGCTGACGATGGCTCAGTTGGGCACTACTATAATAGCTACTTTAAAATCTTCAGGCCGGGCATGGTGGCTCACACCTGTAATCCCAGCACTTTGGGAGGCCAAGGCACGTGGATCACCTGAGGTCAGGAGTTCAAGACCAGCCTGGTCAACATGGTGAAACCACCGTCTCTACTAAAAATACGAAAAATTAGCCAAGCGTGGTGGCGGGCGTCTGTAATCCCAGCTACTCGGGAGGCTGAAGCAGCAGAATTACTTGAACCCGGGAGGTGGAGGTTCCCGCGCCCGGCCCAAAGTTGTTTTTTAAAATTTTACTCATTGAAAATTTTTTTCTTGGCCGGGCGCGGTGGCTCAAGCCTGTAATCCCAGCACTTTGGGAGGCCGAGACGGGCGGATCACTAGGTCAGGAGATCGAGACCATCCTGGCTAACCCGCTGAAACCCCGTCTCTACTAAAAAATACAAAAAACTAGCCGGGCGAGGCGGCGGGCAGCTGTAGTCCCAGCTACTCCGGAGGCTGAGGTGGGAGAATGGCGTGAACCCAGGAGGTGGAGCTTGCAGTGAGCTGAGATCCAGCCAGTACACTCCAGCCTGGGCGACAGAGCGAGACTCCGTCTCAAAAAAAAAAAAATTTTTTTTTTTCTTGAGACAAGGTCTTGCTCTGTCACCCAGGATGCAGTGCAGTGGCATAATCTTAACTCACTGTAGCCTTGAATTCTCGGGCTCAAGTGATCCTCCTGCCTCAGCGTCCCAAGTAGCTGACACCACAGGCCCGCACCACCACCATGCCCCATTACTTTTTTTTTATTTTTTTGTAGAGACAGATTTTGGGGCACCCCCTGGTCTAGCTGCACGTATGCCCCCCAGTGGTGGTTCTGGGAATGACCAAGGTTGGCTACTCAAGTCAGTTGTCTGGGTGAGTTAGAGTGAGACACACACAGACACACTTCGCAGGCGCACCTGAGGGTTGGGGGGCGTTGGGGGTGGTTTTCGGGTACTTCTCGGCTCCCGGGCTCCCCAGACCTCCCTTCCCAGCCCTCAGGCCGGAAAGCAGGGTTGACAGAGCACACAGAGACATAGGAGATTCCACAGCGGAAGGGGAGCTGACCCGCCTGCGGGCAGGCACCAGGACAGGGGCAGGGAGCCACTGGGGCCATCTTGCCCCTTTCAGGGTCAGGTTGTATGTCTGCTCTCTCCTGCCCCCGCAGAGGCAATGCTAACAGCAGAGGTGTGACTGCCACAGCTCCCTCCAGCACTGCGATTATGTCTCCGTATTTATTCCTGCTCACGGGGGTTTTACCTTACAGACAGGAGTCACACCTGTGATTCTTGCCCTTAGAAGCTCCCGCATCCCGGCAGGAGGTCCCCACACAGCCCCCAGACCACACCCCAGGTCTCAAGGGTGGTCGCTCTGCGGGGTGCACGTCCGGCCACGGGGCCACCTGGGGGGCTCCTTGGGGTTGTGTCGTGAGCGTGGATGTGCAGGCCTGGGCGTCTGCACTTGAGAGCGGGACCGGCTAGAGCAGGGCAGGCAGGTCGCTGGGGCAGGCGGGGGCCTCCTCCCGTGCCGTTCCTGAGTAGCCACAAGAGTGCGTCCAGGCAGGTGGCAGGCGACACTCCACACCCATGCGAGGCGTGACCCGGTCACTTGGAACAGCTGGATTGGTTGCATCTTCCTCCTTAGCAATAAGCCTCACGAGCATCAGATCCTTCCGGGAAGGCCATCGTGCGATCAGGCTGTACCCGGATCAGCAGGCACGGCACAGCGGGGCAGTAGACACCCTCAGAAAAGGTGCCAGGGGGTTGCTGGGGCTGGATGGCTTGTGTACTCATCAGTCACGATACTTCAAGAGCTGTTACCAGATTACCTTCAAAAAAAGGCTGTAACAGGCCGGGGCAGGAGGATTGCTTAAGGCCAGGAGTTTGAGACTAGCCTGGGCAACACAGTGAGACCCTGTCTCTACAAAACATAAAAGAATTAGCCAGGCGTGGTGATGCCTGTAGTCCCAGCTACTCGGGAGGCTGAGCGGATGGGAGAATCGCTTAAGCCCAGGAGGTCAAGGCAGCAGTGAGCCCCAGCCCGGGTGACAGAGCAAAACCCTGCCTCAAATTAAAAAGGGGGTTACCTTGTCGCTTTCATTGGCCTTTCCGTGATTCCTGATGGGATGAGGACTTTCTTCAGGAATTACTGGCCAGTTTCCTGCTCTGTGAATGATCCCTCCACATCTCTGCTCACTTTTCCCTATTGGCTTTTGTCATTTTCTTTCTTTTTTTTTTTTTTTGAGACGGAGTCTCGCTCTGTCGCCCAGACTGGAGTGCAGTGGCCGGATCTCAGCTCACTGCAAGCTCCGCCTCCCGGGTTTACGCTATTCTCCTGCCTCAGCCTCCCGAGTAGCTGGGACTACAGGCGCCAGCCACCTCGCCCGGCTAGTTTTTTGTATTTTTTTTTTTAGTAGAGACGGGGTTTCACCGTGTTAGCCAGGATGGTCTCGATCTCCTGCCCTCGTGATCCGCCCATCTCGGCCTCCCAAAGTGCTGGGATTACAGGCTTGAGCCACCGCGCCCGGCCTGTCATTTTCTTTAGCAATATATAAAAGCACTTTAAATCTTAAGGACTTTAATTGCTCCCATGTATGGCCAATATTTCTTATTTCTTTCCCAACTATTTCTGGCTGCTGCTGCTGTTTTTGTATTTCAAGGGAGGCGAGGGCAGGTGCAGCAAAGTAGCCGAGGTTGCCCTGGTCACCAGCCCCCAGCCTGGCCCAGCCTGCCTCTGCGTGGGGCCACCTCCTTCCCCATTGGCACTTCTGCGTCTGCGTCTGCTCCTGGGGCTGCTGGCTTCCATGTCTCTTCCTCCTGTCACTTCCCCCGGCGGTTATGGCATGAGGAATGGAACCTCGTGGACCACATATAATACCCCCCAGGCCTTACTCGCTCCAGCAGACCCTACGGACTGGACTGTGTGGGACAGGCCTGCGGCCACAGCAGCCACCAGATGGGTTGGGACTGCAGGGTCCCTGTTAGGGCAGGGACGGGGGAGTGTCTGGCTGTTCTGGGACTCTGAGCTCAGGTGACGGATGGATGTGCCTTTCAGGACTGCAGGTGACGGACGGACATGCCTTTGGAGCAGTGCAGTGTGTGGGCACGTGGCAACCTCGCGTGCCGTCCTACTTTGAGGAGCGCCACCCTCGAGGCCTGCGTGGCAGCACCAGCAGATTCCAGGCAGTGGCGACTTGTCTCATCAACTCTGCAGAAAGGAGACGCGAATCCCCCCATGATTTCATGATATGTCACTTTCAAACAGTATGGGCCACTGAATAACAGAAAGTCTATAGGCATTTGGTATTTACCTAAAACTTTATACATTCAAATTGGCACCAAAACCTGTCTCCTCCCGGACTCCATCTAGAATGTCCTGGAGCAGCTGGAGGTGGCTCCCAGCACCCCGGGCCTCAAGCCTGCTAGGCTGTGCCAGGCTGTGCAGCCTGCCTCTGCGTGGGGCTGGCACACCTGGCAGGCCCCCTGACCCTGACCCTAGCCCAGCTGATACCTGTTGTTCCATCCCCCAGCCACAGGGCAGGGAACCAGCTGGTAGCCAACCTGGCTGTGCCCAGTAGTGGTTTGGACCCTGGGGACACCTGAGGTTGAGAGAGTGGCCCCCATCTGTGGCACACTGCTGACTGCACACACAGGGTGGCCTGAGGGGACAGGGGAAACGGGCTGTCTCTGCTCTCCCCTCCAGACCTGGTGTCCCCCTCTCTGAGACTGCGCCCCCCCCAGCCCTCCTGCAGCTCCTCTCCATCCCCTCCCACGTCGGCCCCCCCGTCTGTGCCCTGAGGGGTGGTCTAGTGGCCCAGGCTCCAACTCTCTCCAGGCAGGAAGGCCCTGCAGCAGTGACCTCAGAGGAGTGGGCCCAGAAGCTGGGCCTGGGGCGGCCCCTGGAGAGCACTGAGAGGACAGACCCATGCAGCGGCCGAGGTGGAGGATCAGGTTTAATGGTCACTATGAGGGGTATCGTACACCGTTCCGAGCCCGGCCCCCGCCCCAGCCCTCCCTCAGCCGGGAACACAGCCAGGTGCCCTCAGACCCCTGGCTCTGCACAAGGGGGGCCTGCCCCCTACCCCAGCTATATACACGAGCGCCCATCCTGCCGACTGTGGACAAAAGCTGGGAGCTCCTCCGAGTCAGGAGCCCCTACAGTCCACCAGCTGCGCGGCCGGGTCCCGGGGCCCACTGCGGTACCGGTGAGGTTCTTGAAACCCAGGACCCAGCCCCAGCCGGGCCCCTGCCAAGCCCCAGGCCTCTGTGCTGGGATGGAGCCTCCAGATGGAGGCTGGTAAAAGCTGAACTCAACAGCAGCAATGAGTGTGCTGGGTGAGCCTGGGGGGATGGGGAGCAGGCCCCACCCGGAGCCTCCTCTGAAGGAGGGGATGCTGCGCCCTTCCCTCCTGCTGCCCAGATGTCCCTGCCGGGTCTGGCGCCGGCTGAGGTCTGAGTAAGCGGGGAGAGGGGGTGGCAAGAGAAGTGGAAGTGAAAGCACAGACAGTCGGAGACTTGGCCAGTGCAGACAAAGCCAGAGACTCGGCCAGTGCAGACAGAGCCAGGCTGGGCAGCCTGGCGACGCTGGCCCCACACACACGGGCCACCCTGGTGCTGGTGATCGATACGGCAGGGAGGGGTGGGCAGGGAGGGTCCTGAACACATGTGGGCTGCTGGGCTGGGGTGCCTATGCTGTAACTAGCAGCACAGTGCTTAACTAGTTAACAAGAAATGCTGCTTCCCTTTGAACTGTTTCGGGGGTGTAGAAATTGCACTTATTTCTATGAACCCCATGGAGGGGATTCCCAAAGCCGAGCCTCCAGGCGAGGCATGGCAGGTCAGTGCCTGGCCGCTGAGCATCCACGGGCCATGGGGCGGGATCCTCCCGGCCCCCAGGGACTGAGGCCTCTGTGGCCATGGGTGCGGTGAGGACCGGAACCCACGGGGGGAACCTGAGCAACGTCTGAGGTGCCCTGAAGTGGCTCCAGGCAAGACCAGAGCCGCACAGTCCCAGGGAGCACGAGGCGGCCCAGCCCCAGGTCCCTGTGCAGACGGAGCGGCCTGATGGCGACTGGGCGGAGGCCTCTGCCCCTCACAAGACGTCGTCAAAGTCCAGCAGCTTCGAGTGCTGGCGGCTCTTCCAAAGGCGATACAGCCGGAAGTCAAAGTACGTCTCGATCATCTGCTTCCCTGGGCGGAGCGGGGGGCAGGAGGCTCAGGCCTGGCCAGCAGCCTCGGGATCCCACCCCACCGAGGCCCCACAGTGGCTGCAGAGCTTGGGCCTAGCCTGGGTAACTCACCTTGGGCTGAGAGCTCCAGGGGTGACTCGAAGGTGACCCTATAAGGAGTCATGAGGGTCCTGAGGTTCTGGAACAGCTGGAAGAAGAGGGGTGCCGTGAGTCTGAGGCAGAGAGATGGGGAAGGAGGAGGGGGGAAAGATGGGGAGCAGGGCCCACTCTCTTTTCTCAGACCCCCCAAACCTGGCTGCACTCAGGCAAAAGGGATTTCTAGGGGAATGCCCGGGGCAAGGAAAAAAAAATGCCAGGAAACACGGAAGGCCCTGCCCTGTCTGTCCACGTTGGGGGTTTCCAGAGGCCTGGGGTGGGGCCTGGGAGTCACTGTACCTTCTCCCCATTGGGGTTCCCCAGAATGTAGCAGCCCATGATGTGGATGACGTTCGGCTCTGGGTTCACTTTACTCATCAGGCGGCTCAGCCGCTTCCAGAAGCTGGTGGAGAGGGGCGTGTCACCCAGTGGCAGGGACAGGCACCCCGCTCCACAGAGGGGACCGTGGGGGAGGGACACTCCGGAGCCTGGACTCTGCCTCCAGCCCTCCCCGCGCCCAGGGCACCCGGCTTCTCACTGAATCATGTCCTCTTCCTTCTCCACTTTGGCAAAGGTGGCCACCTTGTTCTTGAGCAGATAGAGGTGTCCAGGGCCTCCCTGTAAAAAGCTGTGGTCAGGCACCTGCTCCTCCTTCCTCTCCCTCTCCCACACACATGCACTCACGCACACGCGTGGGAGGTGTTTTTGGTCGTCCTCTCCTGGCCATGTCTCTTCCCCTTGGTCTCCCCTCCAAACACCTCTTCTTCTTCATCTCCCCCACCACATCTCTTCCCCTTGGTCCCCCCCTCACCATGTCTCTTCCCCTTGGTGCCCTCCCAGGTCTCTTCCCCTTGGTTCCCCCACACCACGCCTCTTCCCCTTGGTTCCCCCACCCCATGCCTCTTCCCCTTGGTCTCCCCCAACCTGACCTCTTCCCCTTGATCTTCCCCCACCCTGCCACGATTCTTCTCCTGGGCCAGAGAACACTGAGCCCCACCTGGCAGAAAATCAGCATCTTCCAGATCTTGGCTCCCTTGTGGTAGACATTCAGCTTCCTCTCTATCTCCTCTGTGGGAGAGTGGGTGTGAGCGCTGCGGCTCCCACCCCAGCCCCAGGGGCACCCCCTGCCTGTGTCTGCTCTCCCAGCCCCAGGACCAGCAGAGAGGGGCCAACGACACACATACCAAGGATGTCCTCGAAGGTTGCGTGCTCATGGTCCTGGGGACAGACACAGGCCACAAGGCCACATCAGGGCTGCGTCAGAGCCAGCAGCGTCACAGCCCGCTGGGGACCTGGGGTGCCAGCGCTGGCCCAGCGTGGGGCTGCAGGAGGGGATCTGTGGGGGCAGGCCTGGGGCGGGACTCACGTAGAGGATGGGGATGATGGAGGGGTCGTCCCGGCGGATGATGGTGGGGATGTACTCAGCCTTGGGCACCTTGGAGGAAATGAGCTAGGGAGACAAAGAGCTGCTCAGGGGCCCCAGGCCCATCCAAAAGCCGAGGGGCTGTGGGAGCCCCCATGAGGCTACCTTCTGGCTGCCAGGCAGCCCAAGGGTACAGCCCTGTGAGACCCCCTCCCGCAGGCAGCCGGAGAAGGCTGCGTGGTCCCAGGCAGAGCTGGCTGGGCTCTTGGGACAGGGCCGAGTCCTGCTGGGGTGCAGAGGAGCACTGCCCGGGCTGGGCCTCACCATGACCTTTGGTGGCACGAAGCCCTCGGTGTCGCACGCCACGGCCTCCAGGCCCTTCTCCGTGTCCCAGTCCAAGTCCTCGAAGGCCTCGTCCAGCGTGCAGTGGGAGCTCTGCAGGTCACTGCCTGGGAAGCAAGAGGGTCACCAAGACAGCAGGCCTGCTAGCACCTCCTGTCCTGGCCACGGCCCCGAGGCCCACGGGGCCCGAAAGGCCCATCCCGGAGGGTCCTCCAAGCAAGTGAGAGGACTATGCAGAGGCCGCCGCCAGCCCGGCAGGACAGGCCTGCGGACACCACTGGGTAGCGGCCTGATGTGGGGAGGGAGACCCTGGTGCCAGGCTGGTGGACGGCGCGTGCAGGCATCAGCTCCAGCCAAGTCGGCAGGGCGCCTGGGAGGGAGTGGGGGCGGGCACTGCAGTCCCCTGCCCCTCAAGGCCTCTTGCGAGTGGCAGTGGGCACAGCCCTACAGGCGCCCCCGGCCAGCACTGCCGCAGCCGTTAAGTTAGCCCCATTTTTGAGATCGGAGATGCTGAGGGCGTCCCCATCTCACAAACAGGTAAACCAAGGCTCAGAGTGCAAAAGCGCAGCCCAGCGGCCCTGGCAGGGGACCCCCAGCAGGGGTCTAGGGTCTAGGGGAGGCTCTGGGAAAGGTGGGCGGGCCTGTGCGGGGCACCTACTGTCTCGGGAGTCGTGGGAAGTATCGGCTTTCATGGGGGTGGGGTCGCTCCAGGACCGGCTGAAGCTCCGCTCGCGCCGCTCAGCGAACGCTGCAGAGAGCAAAACCCGCATTAGCGAGCGGGCGAGGTGGGGCCTCTGGAGACTCAGGCCCCAGGCAAGGGGACCGCGGGGACCCTGGGCAGAGGAAGCTGATGTGGGTGTGGCCTGAGGCACAGGAAGCAGACACGAACCGGAGACTCAGTAGGTTCAGGGGCAGGATCTTCGAACACTGGGGCGGGGCCAGAGGCGGAGTCTGGGAGAGGAGGAGCCTGTCGGGCTGGGGGCGTGGCCGGGAGGGGAGGCGCCTGTGCCAGTCTGGGGGCGTGGCTGGCAGGGGAGGAGCCTGTGCCGGGCTGGGGCGTGGCTGGCAGGGGAGGAGCCTGTGCCGGGTTGGGGGCGTGGCTGAGAGTAGAAGCCTTGTCGGGCTGGGGGCACGGCTGGGCGGGGAGGAGCCTGTGCCGGGTTGGGGGCGTGGCTGGGAGGGGAGGAGCCTGAGGCAGGGCCTGGCTGGGGTTAGGGCGGGCGCGGGGGGGGGGGGGGGGGGGGGGGGGGTCGTTCTCAGCACAGCTAGCAGCACGCAAAGCCCCAACCAGCCAAGCGCAACGCCGGCCCCCCACCCCCGCCCCACAGGGCCTTACTCTGGGCCTTCACCCTCCGGCTGCCGACCATGCGCAGGTGTTTGCGGAAGTTCCTGGGGGAGGAAGTGAGGGGCTGAAGGCCTTGAGGGGGTGGCGGCAGCCCCTGCCCACCTAGTCCCCGTCGGGCTAGCGCTCTACTCTCACCCCTTCGGTGTGGGAAGCCAGTGCTCTCCCTGGCTCCTGGCACCACCTCCCACCCAAAGGCAAATCCCACCCAGTGCTCTCCCCACGAGAGCCTTCCAGGGCTCCCCTTCGCCTCCAGAACAAAGGTGCAGTGCCTGGCGCTCTGGATCAAGCTTCCTCCGAAGCTGCATTCCCAGGCTCTGACCTTCCATCCTCGCCCGGGACTCACACCCTGAGCCTCCACGCCCATGTGGCTGAGGATCCAGCCTGCCTGCGCTGCAGCAGAGCGGGGCTCCTGTCTGCACCACCCCATGGCGGGCTGGGGGCCTGCAGGAGCCCCCTCTCCTGCTCTGTGTCCTTGAGCCACCTCAGGGGCAGGTCCTCTCCTCCACCAAACTTTGGACCCTGCCAAGGCCCAACATCCGAAACGGGCAAAAAAGTTCCCCAGACATAGCTCTGTAGTTGGAGCGGGGGAGGGGGGCCTTGCCTCTGGCCCCATCCCAGACAGAGACCCGTGCCCTCGGAATGCAGGACTGAGGGTGAGATGCTTTCCTGCAGCCCGGGCCACATGGCCTCTCCTGCCTGCCACGTCCCCAGAGCAGGGCCAGGCCAGTGGTCGCCACCACCCTTCCCCCATCAGGTCTGCCAGGGCCGAGGGGGCCCAGGCCAGGCCAGCACAGACCAGAGATGGACCCTGGTGGCGAGTGGCTGGCAGGCCCTACCTCTGGATTACAGACGCGGAATCATTCTCCCGTTTCCGGCGCTTCCTCTCCGCGTAGCCCCTGAACACCCTGGGAAACCACCGCGAGTCAGCACTGCCCTTGGCCAGAGGCAGGAGGGACACAGACGTGGGGACAGTGGTGCGAGCAGAGGGCCCAGCAGGGCGTCTGGGGCATGGGGCCAGGCAGAGGAGTCCCAGCCTGCCTCACCAGTTGAGGCCCAGCTCCCGGCAGGCCCTGCTGCGACCTCGGTGCCCGCTGGGAGCCAGGCCCACAGAGAGCGGCACTCCCTCAAGACCCAGGTCCCTGGCCTGCCCAAACCTATTTGGGGGTGGGAGGGTCTCCCCAGGGACAACGGCTGTGCCCTTAGGCACCAAGTCATACAGGTACTTACGAGATGCTGAAGCCAGGGCCAAAAGGGATGGCGTGAGAGAGAAGACACAGTGAGCTCAACCCTGGGCCTCCCCTCAGCCCCCACCCGGCCCCTGCAGTTCCCTTCTTGTCACTGACCCAGTAGATCCCTCACAGGTAACCCAGCCGCCAGCAGGATGCTGGCTACACTGCCAGCCAGCCCTGAATAGGCAATGGAAGCTTATGTCACTGCAGCCCATGCCACCAGGACCGGTTGCTGAGACCGGGCAGCCTGAGGCTGGGAGTGGGGTGGACTCCCCCTGTGCAGGGCACTTCTTTGGTGTGGGGGCCACTGCAGCAAAGGGAACTTCCCTGGAAGGAACCCCAAAACAGAAAACCCAGATGTATGTCCAGACAGAGAAGAGCAGGTCCCTGGGGGGACCCCAAAACTGTCATTACCTGTGGCACATATGAAACAGAAGTAGGCTTCTATTTGGGGGTTGAGGGAGGGCAGACACAGGCTGAGGAGAGGGGATGGGAGGAGGAGAACCACGCCACACCCCACACCCCACTGACAGCTCATCAGCTGCAGCCCTGGGCCGGGTCCCCTGACCAGAGGACTGTGGGGTGGCTGGGCACCAGCCATGGGAGGGGAAGAGCAGCCAGCCATGGCCTCCCTGGCAGGCCTGGCACAGGATGGGCACATGGGGCTGTTCAGAAGCAGCCACCCTGGTAGGCCCAGAGGCTGGGAAAAAGCCGTGTTTCCTGAGCAGCAGAAGGAGGCCACCCGGCCCTGACCCCACATCGTGGAACAAGACTCACGCTTGCATAGTTGTGGTTGCTGTCTGGAAGCTGAAAAGATTTTCCTTGGGGAACCAGGTACGAATGGGGATGTCGTCTAAAAGAGACAAAAAGGAGCGGTGGCTGGGTGAGGTCTGTCCCTCCCTGTTGGGAAGCAGATGCTTCTGAGTCCGGGGGTCAGCGGCAGTGGGCAGCCAGGGCGGGTGGGGGGAGGCTGGCGCAGGGTGGCATCCCCCCACGGGCCCAGAGGGCAGTGCTCGAATGTCTGCTGCTCACTCACCAAGACCACGGTCTTGGTGACTTGACGCTTTGATTTTTTTTGGCTTAACTTTCCCTTTGGCCACCCAAAGTTTGAGGAACATTCCTTTGAAAGCACGGTCTGTCTCCAGGAGGCCCAGGAAAAAAATGCATCTGTTTCCCTCGGGCATCTGAGGCCTTCTCCACAGCCCCCATGCTCTAGCTGGAGGCCCTCGCTGAGGCTAGAGACCACCTTGCTGAGGGTTGTCCCCTTCCCAGGGGCCCCACAGCCTTTTCCTGATGCCCAAGTGTGGGGACCGTGGAGTGACTTTCTGCCTGGTGGACAAGCTACCACGCAACTCAACAGTCCTGGGGAAACGGGCCCACTGCCTGGCGGGGCCCCAACAGCTTCCCAGGACTCTTGGAGGGCAGCCCAATCTCCTGATTAAGCGGTGTTTCCTCCCTATATATCCCTTAAGATCCTCCCAGGCCCCCTCCTCTGGGAAGCACTCCTTGATTGACCTGGTGCTAGCCGGGCCAAAGCGGACTGTGAGGCCTGGCAGATTTTGCTGAGGAGCTGAGGGAACTCACAGCTCATAGGGTGTGGAGGCAGCAGCAGGAGCCTGCTGGGTTTAATCTTGAGTCCGCTGGCATACTGTGACCTGAGCACCCATCCCCTGTTCCAAGCCTCACAGTGGCTGCTGCTGTCAGACCCTGGCAGTGGCATGCACCCCCAAACCTGTCCATGCCCCGACACAAGCCCCTCACCAGACACACGGTCAACACTGTACATCCTCTCCAGCTTCTTGCGGCGGCCAGAGGTCTCAGGCAGAGGCGGCTGGTCCAGACCAAAGGCCCGAGGGGTGGGGCCAGGAGCCAGCTGTGCACATCCGGGGCATTCCTTGGAGCCCTGGCGGCTGCCCGCCCAGCTCTGGCAGGGCCTGCTGACATCCTCCCGGCTGCCGCCAGGGCTGGCGCGCAGGGGCTGGCTGTGGTGGTGAGGGTGCCGCTGCCGCCGCCCCTTCACCACCGCCAGCTCAATGGCCTCCGCCTCGGGGCTGGGCAGCAGGGCAGGCTCCCCAGAGATGGTGTACACTCGAGGCTGGGGGCCCTCGCCTGCGGGCTTCCTAATGCCGGGCTCCTCTGAGAGGCTGCCCTCGTAGCAGCCGTTGGAGACGAGGGACAGGCGGCGCTTGTTCTGGGGGGCCGGCTGCATCTCGGGGGACCCGTCGTGGCCAGAGTAGGCATCAGCCAGCAGGTGATCTGGGAGAGACACTGGGTGAGCCTGCAGCGGCGTGGCCCCCCGCTGCTGGTTTCATAGCAGGCCGAAGGCAGAGAATACCCAATGGGCACCTGGCGTCTGTGGGGGGCTGGGGCTGCTCAAACCCTAGTCACTGGCATGTTTCTGAGCCCCTCACTCCTATCTGGGCCTCAAGCCCCTGCATGTGTGTGGGGGCGGGGTGACTCCGCGCTACCTGTGTGCGGTCCTGCTGGGTAGGAACACGCAGGCCACCCCCCAGCCTGCGATCGCACCGTTTGCCTGGTGCCAACTTCCCCCTCCCCCCACCAGCTGGCCCCCAGAGGCAGTGGTGCCAGCCCTGGGGGAGCCAGGAGGCCTGTTGCCATGCCAACGGCCCAGGCGGGGTGGGTGCCATGGTGACGAGCGGCTGGGAACTGCTCCTGGGGCTCGGGCAGGGAGGGCAGGGGATGTGAGGAAGCCAGGCCGGCAGGGCGCCCGGCCCACGCGCAACCAATGCCCCTCACGCTCCACCCCCGGAGGCAGGGATCAGCATCCCCTGGGCTGGGGGGTCTGGGCGGCCCTGGCATGGCCTCGCGTGCCCTACCTGCGCCGTTGCGGTTCTCAGGGTGACTCTGGGACAGGTACTCTCCAAACGCTCGAGCTGCTCTGAGGGTGGACAGAGAGGGCACGGTCGGAGGCCACGGCACGACCCTCCCAAACACAGGGCGGCACAAGAGCCGGGGAGCCGGTCCCCAGCCAGGCCTTAGGCGTCTGGAGGGAGGGTCGGGGGTCGCCCCCTCCGGGAACCCACACACCCTTGGTACTGGTGCGCCCTGGCCAGGCCTGCAGGCCCGGCCCCTGCCCGTTGGCCCGTGGAGAGGGGTCGCGAGGCTGGTTAGCTGCTGTTCCCTGGGGAACCGAGGCCACTCCCGACCCGGGGGGTGCGCTCGCCCACCATGCGCTCGCGAGGGGAGGGGACAGGAGGGCAGGGCAGGGGGCCAGGAAGAGGGAGGCGCGGCGAGAAGCCAGAGGAGGGGGCGCGGGACGCGGGGAGGGCGCCGCAGTGGGAGAGGCTGGGGCCCGGGAGCCCGGGGAGCACCGCGGGGCAGGGGCGGACTCGGGCGGGGTCGGGGGTCCGGGGCGGGGTAGCACTCACCGCACTTTGGCCGCCACCGAGGACATGGCCTCGCTCCTCAGCGCCCTCCTCCTGGAGGCGGCGGCGCCCATGGTCGAGGCGGCGGCGCATCCCCCGGGCCTCAGAGCGCGCCCCGCGCCCGCCGCCTCCGCCGGGGTAGCCGCGCCGCGCCGGGGGTCGCGCTTGGGCTTGGGTTCGGGGTCTCGCTCGGGCTCCGACTCGGGCTCGGGCTCGGGCTCGGGGTCGGGCCCGGGCCCCGCATGGCCGCACCCGGCGCTCCGCGCGTGCCGCCGCTCCCGGGAGAGCGCTGCCCGGACCGAGGGCTGGCCCCGCCCATCGTGACGTCAGGACCCGGGCGGGCTCGGAGGGGCACTCGGTCCCGCCCACTGTGACGTCAGGGCCCGGGAGCACTCGGAGAGGACAAGTGACCCCGCCCACCGTGACGTCAGGGCTCGGGTTGGGGGCGGGGCCGGACGGCCTGGCTCCGCGCCCTCTCGTCCAGGCCTCCAGAGCGGGGAAACTGAGGCCAGCGGCCGCCTGTTCGCAAAGTCCTGGGCCCTCGGCCCTCATGATCTGCAGGGGTCACAGGGCGGCCGATTCTCCCTCCCCTTACACAAAAGGGCTCCCTGTGCAGTTTGGGACCTGGAAACTGAAGGGGAAGCCGGTTTAGGGGCACCCAGTGTGCTCGAGGCCAGAGGGAGCCAGAGGGTCCTGTCCTGGTCCTGGGAGCCACAGCTCCACGCAGACTCTGGGAGCCCTACCTGCCTGGCCTGCAGTTGCCACCCTAGGGGCTCTCAGGCCCCAGCAGTGGGGTCATTTGAGGATGGCTGGGGACTGCCCAACCTCGGCGACCACCCATATCAGGGACAGCCAGTAGTGTTTCTTTGCGACAGGGACCTCAGCCCGGGGGACACGTCCAACACTCAGATCCACCTTTATTGAAACATCACATGGCAGCATCAGGGCTCCCACACCTCACAGGGCTTCAGGGGCCTCACAGGGCTGCATCGGGTTCACAGGGCTCTGGGGGGGTTCACAGGGCTCCGGGGGGGCTCACAGGGCAGCAGGGAGGCTCACAGGGCTGCAGGGGGTCAGAGGGCTTTGGGGGGCTTCACAGGGGTGCAGGGGGGCTGAGAGAGCAGCAGGGAGGCTCATAGGGCTGCAGCAGGTTCACAGGGCTTTGGGGGGCCTCACAGGGCTGCAGGGGGCTCACAGGGCTCTCACAGGGCTGCAGGAAGGGTTCACAGGGCTGCAGGTAGGCTCATAGGGCTTTGGGGGGCCTCACAGGACTGCAGGGGGGCTGACAGAGCAGCAGGGAGGCTCACAGGGCAATAGGGGGTTCACAGAGCTTCGGGGCCCTCACAGGACTGCAGGGGGGCTCACAGGGATGCAGGGGGTTCACAGGGCTTCAGGGGCCTCACAGGGCTGCAGGGGGAGCTCACAGGGCCCTGTGTGCAGGGCTGCAGGTACAGAGAAGAGGCCCAGAGAATCCTAACACAGCCTGGGGCTCCGGGGAAAGCTGGGGCTTCCAGCAGGGCAGGTACAGAGGACCCTAGGAGTTGGCAGCAGCCTCAGCCTTGGGGACAGTCCCACAGAAGACACTGCATCTGGGCTCTTTAGCACAGGCCTCTACCCATCCTGGTCAGAGGAGCCCTCGGACAGTTTTGGGAAAGCCAGGCTGGGGTGTCCATGCTGCAGCAAGGACTCGTCCTCCTGCAAGCAGACCGTATGTTGCACGTGAGGACTAGGCAGGGCCGAGGCTGTGCAGCGCTGGTAACCCAGTGGGACCACAGGGAGGGAGTGTCCGGCTCAGGGCGAGGCACTGAGGCTCAGCTGCGGGCATGAGGTGGGGCCACGCCCAGCTACTCACCGAGTCCGAGCCCCGCTCCGCCGAGGTACTCTGGAAGTCTGCGTATGCATCCCTGGGGACGTCCAGCAGCTCCTCCTCATACTCCGTCTGGTAATCAGATTCGTCTGGCGCCGAGGGTAGGGCCACATCAGTTCCCTCCCAAGGAAGGGACCATGCCCAGCACAGCCACACTCAGAGGCAGAACTGGTCACAGATGCCCACCCCTGCCCCTAGGTGGCCAGGGGCCCCACAGGCAGCCACCTGGTCCCAGGGCAGCCCTGCACACCACCCCTGGTTCTGTCTGCCTCCAGCCTTGCCCCAGCATATCACTTGGTAGGTCTTCCACAAGGGCAAGGGGTGGGTAGACACTCCTCCCCTTGTCAGCCAGGCACCCTTAGGGCTCCCGCACCCCAGACCAGGCCTCTGTGGACAGCAGCTGCCTTGCCCAGGGCTCTCTCAGCCCACAGCAGCCACGAGAAGGCGTCTCCCGGGAGAATTCCAGTTCTGCTGTCAGGAGGCCACTGGCCGAAGGCCCAAGCGCAGGGCCCTGGATGGAGCGTGGAGGGGAGTGGCCCTTCTGGCCCTGCTGCCCCTCCAACAAGCAGCCTTCATTCCCATTCCCACTGGGTGGGGTGGGGTGGGAGGCAAAACGTGGTTCTACCTCAGGCCTGAGGTGTGGCTGGGACTTGGGGTGAATGAAGGGCAGAGGCTGGGTGGCCCAGGGTGGTCAAAGTCCCACTGCTGTGGGTACACGTGGTGCCCGGGACGGAGGAGCGCCACCAAGCACCCCAGCTGCCATAGCGTGGGCATGGACGTGGGCAGGAGGGGAGGCCGTGGGCCTCTGGGGTGGGGGCGTCGAGCCCAACACAGCATCAGGAGGCCACGCAGCCGCGAGCACCTCATCTTGGGCCTCCACTCACCATCCACCATGGCGGGCTTGGCGGGCTCAATGCAAGACACAATTTCAGCAAGGTCCGTGAAGGAGGCGTTGGGACAGGTGAGGACCTGGGGGTGGGGTGAGGACAGCATGTTGCCCGTGGACACCCACCTGCCAGTCCCCAGCCTGCTTCCTGTGGGAAGGCCCCACCCACCCTGTGCCCTCTCTGTAGCCTCCGCCTGCCCCCCAAGTTGGGGCAGGGGCAGGGGCTGGGGAGATGCGCAGTCCTGAGCAATCCTTGTCCTAGCCCTGGAGTCTTTGACCAGTGGGGCAGGGCCTGTGGCCTGAGGACCTGGGCGTGGTCTGGGGAGCTGGGCGTGGCCTGGGGAGCTGGGCGTGGTCCTGGCGCCCGCACTCACCTCACTCGAGGGCCTCTTGCTTGGGCCCTGCTGGTCGCGCAGCATCTTCTCCAGCACGCCACTGCGGCCCCAGATGTCAAACACCGTGCGCCCGTGCTGGTACCCCACTTCCTGTGCACACCCCCAGGGCCCCGTCAGGAGGTGTGGGGAGCCCCCCACTTCCTGTCTTCTCAAAAGGGGGAAGCGGGGAGAGGCAGCCACCGGAGTGCCCTCCGCCCGCCTCCGCCGCTGCGGGTGTGGCCGGCACTCACGCAGATCTCGTTGAACTTGCTGAAGTCCAGGGTGCCGTAGCTGTCGATAGGGGGGCGCAGGTACTCGCAGTAGTCACTGCTCTTCACCACCTCCAGCTGCCGCACGCAGCACACGTAGGCCAGGCGCGTCTGAATCTCCGCCATGTTCAACACCTGCTACCGTCACAGTCGCCTGAGTCTCCTGCCCTGGCCCCTACCCCGTCCCAGCATGGCCCGTAGTGCAGGACAGGTTCTGGGGACCCATCCTCCGACCTGGGGCTGCGGGGAGAGGGTAGCAGCTCCCGGCCGGGGGTCCTCCCTGCGGGCTGCCACAGCCTTCAGGCCCGTCCGGCCTCGTCCCTTCTTTCCCCGGAGCTGGGCTCAGGCAGGGGTGGTGAGGGGTGGCCCCAGACCTGCTGGCCTCAGAGCCCAGGAGTGGCCCCCACTTCCCTGCCGCAGGACAGGTGTGGGGCTGCAGGGAGGAGCCGCAGGGACAGCCCAGCTCGCCAGGTAGCACCCCACCTTGACTTTCGTGGCCAAGGGGTTCCAGCGTTTCCACAGCAGCCACCAGCCAGACAGCGCATCCCCATAGTTGGTGAGGTCCGTCTCATCTCGGCTGCCCACATCAATGGCAATCACCACTTTTGCCCCCATGGACCGGGCCACATCCGCTAGGGAGAAGCCAGCCCTGGTTACCCCCTGGACAGGCATGCAGAGCCAGGGGACGGGGACAGAGCCTGCCTCCCTGAGACCTGACCTGGGGGCTGTGGGGTCTCCTTTCTGCCGTTACACCTTCTAGAGGCAGAAGACCCACACGCCCAGCTCAGAGGGCAGCTGTGGGCACACAGCTGTGTCCTGGGCCATTCTGACCGCATATCCCACAGGTGACAGGAGTGGCCTGGTCCCCAGCAAGGCCGACACCTGCAGGCTGTTAGTTTCTGACTGTGGGCACAGATGGGGCTTAATTGCTCCCAGTTACTCGACTTGGCCTTTGTTCTGCACGCTGCTGAGCTGACTAACAGGGCCATATGCTGGAGCACATGCTGCCGGTGCCTGCGTGTGCGTGTACACGCGTGTGCATGTTCTCGGAGCTCTGATGCCAGCCTGACATTTTTCCTTGGCACACTCTAAGGAAAACGTGTTCCAGCCCAGCCTTCTCGGAGCAAAGGCAGCAGCAGCAGGGGCCGTGGGGCGGTGTGACCCAGGAGCCTGTGCTCCTGTCAGGTGTGGTCCCCACAACCGCAGTACCTGGGAGGTTGTTGATGTAGCCCCCATCCATCAGCAGGTGTCCGTCCTTGGGGTCACAGAGAGGGGGCATGTAACCGGACAGGGACATGCTGGCACGCACATACCGCCACAGGGAGCCTGGGGAGGGGGCCCGGAGTCGCTGGTTACCCAGAGGAGGCTTCTCCTGGGTCCAGGGGTCAGGGCCTTGTCTCTGCAGTCCTGGAGCTGGTAGGTCCCACCTCACTGAGGCCGCCTCCACAAAAGGAAGCACATGGCCCAAGGGCTGAACGAAATTGAGTTCTTTCTCTGGGGTCGACTACATTAGGTGTGCCCAGGACTTCCAACTGCTGTGACTCCCTCACCCCAGGAGTGAGGGAGCCCCTCACTTTGTCCTCCCACATGATGTCCATCAGTCTAGCCCACATCACTGATTCTGCGAGGGTCCTGTCTGGCCTTCTGAGATCTCTGGCCCAGGCCACGCCCCCTCCTGTCTGAGGTCTCAGGCCCAGGCCACTCCCCCTCCCGTCTGAGGTCTCAGGCCCAGGCCACGCCCCCTCCCGTCTGAGGTCTCTGGTCCAGGCCACGCCCCCTCCTGTCTGTGCACCTAGTAGGGGCATCCTGCGTCCTCCATGGACAGAGCTGCCCACAGGAGACCCCCGCGACCTTCCCGACCCCCAGGGCTGCTGGGCTCTCCCCCTGCCCACACCTCGCACCCAAGCGGCCGCCCCTGCGCGGCAGGGGTGCTCACCATCGG